GCAGCCATCAGGGAAACATTGCAGCAGAACGCTTCCACGCTTCCCGATCAGGACGAACACCCGAAGTTCGGTCGGCTTTTTTATGCTTTTTTAATGGCTTTCTGCATGGTGATCCACTGCCCGGTGGGGTAAACCTTGAGTATTTATAGCCGCATATGACCAAAATGGTGGAGTTGTACACTTTCCGTTAGCTGCCCCTGCGATCAAACGAGACAGCGGTCCTCCACTATTGAGTGACCGTACATGAAGAAATGTAATACCCAGTAAGAAAATGAATGGGGGTCGTACCCAAGATTGCGCTTGTAGGATATTCTCTGAACATCTCTGAACAAAACACAACGATAGTTCGGATAGGCTAGTTTACCCATACACTTAGACTGAGACTTGCAGTTATTTTGCAGTTTGATGGGTTTGCCCCATGTCGGGAACTTTTTGTTTTGCCCCCATACAGTAAATTATGAGTTGATTTGATCACCGTGTTGAACTTTGTAGATTCATGTTTTTTCAATCCGTCAATCAAAGGGCCTATTCAGGTACCAAAATGATCCAAAATGGAGGAAGTGGTCCAGTGAAGTTTTCCCTGATACCCCCTGTTACTCCAGGGATGATTCACTCCCATTTCTGGATTCATGGGTGGGATATGTTGCCAGCCATCAATGTATGGATTTGGTTGCCGAATTGTTGGTTCTATGGAAAATTGTGCTACCTATTGCTAATCTGATTTGTTTTGCATCGATCCTGAATGACTCTCTTGGTGTTTTCATCAGTTTTCATCCCCTCTATTTGCTTGATTTCTGAACCCTGCTGGAACAACAAAACAACAAAACTATGTGTCTATGTTTTCTGGGACCCTTGCAAGTGGGCATACGTTCTGCTAAGAATGTAACATAATGTAACTATGGGAATATATTTTTTTTTCAACAGGCAAACTGTCTACAAACCTGTGAAGGTGAAAATTAACAGAACCCCCCAACTTTTGCGTAGAAACCATGGAGTCCTACAACATGGAAATCAATCCATTGAATCCACCAGTCCCATTTTTCTGCCAATTGTTGTTGCTTAAGACCTAGGAAGCAAAACATGAAAAACCACAGCAAAAAACAACGGTTTTCCCATGATAAAACAATGGTTTCCTGTAGATTTTCCTTCAGCCCACGTGTTTTTTTTCGCCAGAGCCGGCATTTGTTGGCTGGTGGTGGTGCCGCCTGCGCCGCAGTCCAGGGGCCCAGGGGACTATTGATACTATTGTAGGTTGATAGACGGATAGATAGGTCCCAGGTATGAAATTTACATATGGAGGTTTCCCCAAATCATCCATGTTCATGGGATTTTCCATCATAAATCATCTATTTTGGGGTATCCCCATTTATGGAAACCCCCATATCTAGAGAGAAAAGACTGTAAGATGGTACAACCTACGCCGTGTTTGATTATGCGCATTCCAATGTATGAGTCAACAATTCCAAAAGCATGGGGTCACAATTGGTTCCTGCTAAGCTGCTACGTATTGTACTTATAATATCTTATGATGATTATATCCATGACATACGGCGGAGGCATGCGGCTTGATGGCAGACATACAACTCATACTCTGGATATCTCTGGTTGCTGGTGTCAAATATGGACCTTGAATCAACAAAATGTATTTGCTTGACGAACCATCAATGTGGAGTTAATCAACTTAGTCACGACGTGTGGCCAAGCGAGGTGTGGCCAAAGAGAAGGTTAATTTGGTGTCAGGAGCAGTACATCTTCATACATATGTCTCTTTGCATGTCCATATTGGGACAAGACATTTGCATTTCATTTATGCAAACTAGAAACACCCCATATACCATATTCAAGACGCGTATGTTTATGTCTGTATGTAATGTAATGTAATGTAATCCAATGTAATTCAATCTAATGTAATGTACTGTACTGTAATGTAAGGTAAAGTGAAGTAATGCATGTATGTTGATGTATGTATGTAGTGGAATGTAGTGGAATGGAATGGAATGTAATTTAATGTAATGTATGTAATCTAATGTAATGTTATGGTATGGTATGGTATGTTATGGTATGTATGTATGTATGTATGTTATGTTATGTTATGTTGTGGTATGGTATGGTATGTCCTGTCTGTCTGTTTGTCTGTCTGTCTGTTTGTCTGTCTGTCTGTCGGTTTGTCTGTCTGTCTGTCTGTCTGAATGTATGAATTTATGAATGTATGAATGTATGAATGTATGAATGTATGTAATGTATGTAATGTATGTAATGTATGTGATGTATCTGATGTATTTGATGTATTTGATGTATCTGATGTATCTGATGTATCTGATGTATGTGATGTATGTGATGTATGTGATGTAATGTAATGTAACATAATGTAACGTAACGTAACGTAATGTAATGTAATGTAATGTAATGTAAGTAATGTAATGCAATGCAATGTAATGTAATTTAAGTTAACCTAATGTAATGTAATGTTTGTAATGTAATGTAATGTAATCTAATGTAATGTAATGTAGTGTAATGTAATGTAATGTAGTGTAGTGTAATGTAATGTATGTATGTAATGTATAATGTAATGTAATGTATGTATGTAATGTATGTTTGTAATTATGTATGTATGGTATGGTATGGTGTGGTGTGGTGTGGTATGGTATGGTATCTATGTATTTATGTATGTAATGTATGTATGTATGGTAATGTAATGTAATGTATGTATGTGCGTTGGTCTGAAAATAGGGGACCGCCAAATCCCATGGTGAATCGTCATTCATCCCATTAAAACGCCCATAAATATCCATAAATTAGGTTATACTGCTATACCCCCCACCATTTCTGGACAAACCACATATCATTTTGTCAAAATATGTTCCATTAAATATGATATATATATATATATTTATACATATTTATTATTTACATGCATATAGAACACATACACTATACATACTTTATACCCTTATATACCGATTATGGTTACCCATAATTTGCTCCTTGCGTCCCCAGTCACAGCGCCGCGATGAGGTCTGTACCCTTCATCCCTTGGACGTGATCAAAACTCGACTCATGGCGCAGACGTCTCTTGGATGCCACTGATGAAAACTGATGTGCCAAAAATCATGATGCAAACTGGGTGAAGATTGGTGAATGGTAGGTGAACATGGAACAAAAAACTATCCAATTCGAGTGAGGATGGAAGTAGGAAGACGTAGACTTAACTAGCAACAAATATGCCGCAAAAAATGCGGCAATGTTGATGGTAGATGATGGTCGTAGATCAATTTGCTGGACTCACCAGAGATTTTATGATCCCCATTGGTTTTCCAATTGAACTGATTCAGGGACAAGGGTTGGCTCCAAACCACCAACCAAACAAAATGCAGGGGAAAAAAAAAACAGTTTCCACGCTTTAGTCGTTGTCATATGTTGTCATGGAAAGTCGTTTTCTTCGTGGAGGCGGGCATGCTGACAATGGTTACAAAGCACAGGTGGCTACTGTAATCTTGCTTACCCTCTGGTAATTTAACATAGCTATTGAAAATGGCCATTTATAGTGGATTTTCCCATTAAACATTTTGATTTTCCATAGCTATGTTAAATTGCCAGAGGGTACACCTTGTTTCCATAGCTATGTTAAATTACCATAGGGTATTGCTAAGCAACCAATTGCTTTACTGGGTCCGCTGTCTTCAAACCATTTTCCTGCCACCAGTTTTCCCGAAAACCTGAAACTTTGCGATGTTTCACACTTCAAATCATTGCAGTATCCTGTCCACCGCTTCCTGGGGCTCTATGAATGTCTATGACCAGTTTGTTTCACTTGGGTTTCGGTCATTGACTACCCATGTTTGGTGGTCAGATAATTGGTGGGCAATCTCCCAAAAGGTGAGGAAACGTAAGTTCATGGCCCCACTTACAGTACATATAGATAACATATATTTGTACACACAGTGTTTGTTTTACACATATGATTGTGCCTATATATATATATTAATATATATATATATATGCAAACATAAAGGTATAGCTGTAGATGCATCTTTGTGATCCTGTCGTGGGCCCCGAGGCGCCGCGAGTATTACACTGGTGTCTTGGACTGTGTGCAAAAGATTTGTCGCGATGAGGGTCCCCGAGGCCAGGTGACACTGGTGACCATGGGCATCAAATATAGGAATTTAGGACTTATATTATATGATAATATAATATGTTTTTATATATATATGCGTATATACATAATTATATACATATCATCATTTATATATATATATATATGTATTTAAACATCAACACGGGATATCTAATCATATCATGGATTAATGGGATATATTGTGGATTCCCCGGGTAATAGATGACAAACATTGATGGTATATATTATTATTGGATTAATGGGATATAACCATCCACCTGGACTTTAGTATCAAAAATGGTGCCCCAGTTCGGTAGCTAAATTGGTAAAGATAAATCCAATAACTGTTGGGTTGATGGCATATATATATATACATAGTTAATGGGGGTTATAAACCAACTTATTCATGGGGGGTGACATCTTGCCTCAATCCAAAATAGCTCAAAACTTGTCCAACACCTGGCCAAATCGTTGAAATTGTGCGAGTTCCAATAGGTCTTGAAGAACCCACATCCTGGTTTTGAACTGTGCACACATGCATACACTACAGGAAAAAGGATGATACAGTACCCCCAGCCCAGGGACGTGGTTTTAGGTTGATGAATCCAAGGATCGAACAGCTCCGGGGGAAGTTGGCCAGGATTTTCCTAATTTTTCTATGCCAAAGATAGTAAGATTTTCCTAATTTTTCTATGCCAAAGATAGTAAAAGATAGGGACTTTTCATGGCTTTCCCAGCCAGCTTTCATTACCGATGGTTCAAGATCATACTTCTGATTGATATTTACCCTCTGGTAATTTAACATAGCTATTGAAAATGGCCATTAATAGTGGATTTTCCCATTAAAAATGGTGATTTTCCATAGCTATGTTAGTTTGCCAGAGGGTATGGAAGATTGGTCAAAGACCCAGACCTTTTTCAGTCTGAGCTCAAACAAAAATCGCCGCCAAACAACCATTCCATACCTTCGGCTAGATAGCCAACTGTACAGGGCCCATAGCACCCTCAAACGACCAAGCCCAGAATTGACGGTTGGAATATATGATATACATAGAGACCATCAGTTTCTTGGCCCAACTAATGACTTTTTGGATTTTGCTATCATTGATCTAGATCGGGTCCATTTATTTGTGAAAAGTGAACTCCCTTTTGTACAATACATTTTGATACAGATGTGTATATATATAATATCTATCTATCGATCTATCTATCTATCTATCTATCTATCTATCTATCTATCTATCTATCTAATCTATCTAATCTATCTAATCTATCTAATCTATCTAATCTATCTAATCTATCTAATCTATCTAATCTATCTAATCTATCTAATCTATCTAATCTATCTAATCTATCTAATCTATCTAATCTATCTAATCTATCTAAGCTATCTAATCTATCTAATCTATCTAATCTATCTAATCTATCTAATCTATCTAATCTATCTAATCTATCTAATCTATCTAATCTATCTAATCTATCCTATCTATCTATCTATCTATATATATATATATGTATGTGTGTAAATGTGGTCACCAAGGGAACCTGCACGAAATACCATTATTTTTGCATTAGATTTTCTACTGGTTGATTCGTATCTTCATTTTGGTTTACTACTTGTTTCTTATCAATTCTTAGTTCTTACTGCCCCAGAATTTGATGGCAACATTTGCAGGAAAACCATTTTTTTCAAGGTAAGCATCTGGGCGTCCGGTTTCGAGTTTCCCTTAAATCAATCCATTAAAACTGCCCTTTACAGATATGGTTATGGGTCAAAACCCTGGTGTCCAAACGGTACCCTAAGTCATAGCTGGTTAATGGATGGTTATTCCCCTCAGTCATATGGTAAATTCATAGGTAACTTGACCCATAACCATATCCCCTATTCGTCACGCCGTGGCGCGCGTCTTTGGAGAGGTTTATATCGTGGAATTAGCGTGTCGTTGTGCAGCACCACGCCTTCCATCGTCGGGAGCGCCCAGAGAAACATGATTTTGATCCATACCTAGGTGTGTGTACATATACATATATTATATTCACTGTGTATATGGGTGTCAACATCATTCATCCATTATAGAATCATGGTATCTACATATATATATATATGATATGTCCATTCAGGAAATCTCCTTGTACATATATATGTATATGTATGTACATATATATATATATGTATATATATATACATATTGTATCAATTTTGGATATACAATTCGTTTATGCATACATATATTATATATACATAATATATCTATATCTATATAGTTATTTCATGACCCACCCTCTGTACGGTAATGCTTCCCTATTCCCCAGGCCATAAGCTTCACCGCCTTCGACGAGTTCAAGCGGCTCTTTGCCACCACGGTGCTGGGACCAGATGAGTCACGACGCCCAGGGGAGTCGTCGGGAGGTTTAACCTTCGATATGGGGGTTTTAAACGGTGGCCCCAAATGGATGGTTTATAATGCTTTATAATGGAAGATTCTATGAACATATATCAAAATATGGATGATTTAGTAAACGTACCCCCTACAAGACATATACATACAATTGATTGAAATGATTGATCAATATCAATGATTATAATGATATTGGTCTAAATCATCAACATATCGTCATTGAACATTATTGATTATGATTGTTAACCATAACTAACATAAATATCAAAAATCACCATTTCACATAGGTAATTCAACTATAAATGGGCCACGACTTCCACAGCTATGTTACTTTACCGGAGGATAACCATTGGATTCAGGGTTTTAACCATCAACCTGATCAATATTATTGATCAATGATGATTGATATTGATAGAAAATGGTCGGTTGATGATTATAGGGAATTATATATACATATGTATATATATACTAGCTAGTCATTAGCAAGTATGAACTGTACATATATATATATATATACCTGGAGAACCCTTCTCCTAGAATTTTTAAGTGATTTCAGGATTCAAGGAGATATAGGCAATTTCAACGTTTCAATCCCTTTCCCAACGAGCAGTTCACACCAACACTGACATGAAGTTCTTGGTGGAGTTCCTTTTCCATCCTGGCCATACCTGAGCGTTGCTTGGCGGCATTTCTGGTGAATTGCAGCCTGTACACCCCAAGGGTTTTCCGCATAGCGCCTATGGATTGGGTAGCTCCATGGCAAGAACGGGCTGCCCGAGAAACCCGTCCTATATAGTCCTCATCGGACCAACAGCATGTAGCTATTGGAGATAGGACGTTTCCATTTTCCCTGGGTGGTTCCAATTGGAGCGCTATTTCAAATAGCATATGCAGTTTTGGGCGCAAACGGAATAGCTTGCGGCCCTCACTATGAGCAAGTGAAGCTAATTGGCTGTAGCCCTCCTTAGATCAACAACATGTTGCCAATGAAAGTCTACATTCAACATAATATAGACCATAGGATCCATGTATGATATATATATATATATATAATATGCTAACATTGGGGGTATATTGATGGTAAATGTTACCATATATAGCATATATGGATCCTATGGGTAGGATTGGTGATTGCCATTAAAAAAAAACAAAAAACATGCCCCAAAGTACATGCTATATTTGTATGCCTAGGCACACACACACACGCATGGCAGCTCTTTGGGCAGTGTATGCATCATTCGCAGGGATAAAGATGCCATGGGAATAGAGGATGGTGAAGAAAACGTTCACGCAAGAAATAGTGTATCTCATTGTTTCCATGACATTGGTAGTACAATCCTAAGTTCCCTTCTGGTCAAATGAAATCAACATCTAGTCAACCATAGTTCTTCATAATCTTTATTGGCTTTTTGTGGTTTAAAAGAAAAGTGCACTGAATGATCATACAGTATCCAAGTCCTTTAAAAGTACTTCCAACCACCTGCACACCACTGCTGTGTCGTGCCCCTTCCCAGCCACGCTCGTTGGAAAGTCGTTTGTCCTCAGCTAGACAACTGTTAACACTATAAAACATATATGCATATATATATATATACATATGTAAACCCCACTATCCCAGTGTTTTTGGAGCAAATATATACACCTAGGCTCGAAGACATCCCAAACTTTTTGATGCACCACTCTTCACATGAAGTATACCGTTTCTCTGCATGACAAAATTCCTGGAACATCCCGTATGCTGTCCGCAATCTCTCATCAAAATTGCTGGCACCAAATTTTCCCAGTTTCGCCAGCCACACCACAATCGACGCAGCAAGGTCGGCTCCAAAGCCAATATGGAAAGTATGAACCAAATCTGGTTTGATTCTTTTTGGCACACACCCTGGAACAACCCCAAAGACATTGCCAATGGTTTTGAAAGGAGATGGGCCAGGACGTTCACCAGGGGCCCGCCAAGGAGCATTGTCATCAAACCGATACCACTCCTACGACAAGCTACAAAATCAATAATTTGAACATGCCCTTATTTTCGAAAAACATGTTGGCAACCCGTCCTTTGAAGTGCAAAGATGACACTTTCTGTCACTTGTAAAGCCAGTGTCAAGAGCAAAGGCCTCCAACAGGGTTGTGGTATAATGAAAAAATATGGAAATTATGAGATAAAACATTTTGAACCCCAATACCCATTCGTCCAAAAAAAAAACCAAGTCACACCAAGTGGCCTTACGTAAGTAAGGCCAATCGCCTTTTCCAGCAATCCAGACCAGTCTCACATTATGGTTTCCAACCTCAGGGGCGACAGCTCCAGCTTGTGGGGGGCAACGACTAATTAATGCATATGTTTTTAATATTTTTTAGTCTGACCCATCCTGAAACCCATCAAAGAATGCAGATTCCAGTTGCTTTGCCCACTCACTGTTGAGGTCACGAAGTGTTTTTTCCCCATCATAGAGCTTTGCAGAGATACATGTGAACATCATCCTGGATGTGAAGCTGTGCCTTAGATACCATCATGGGAATTCCAACAAAATGCACATAGTGTTTCGCAACAACATCATGGGGTGAAAATAAGAAAAGTCGAACAATGATTGGTTGTCTAAATTCGATTAAGGGGAGCCCTCTTACCCATTGACCAATCATCACACGCTCACTATGGCCTAGCTACCCTGAAGTATTGGTTGTGTACGGACCAAGATGGGAAATAACGAATTGCCAGCTTTGGACCATGAAAGCTTGGGACCGTAGGCCCCTTCCTTCATCTCCATGTGTCATGATGGGAATGCACAATGATCTGTCGTAATCCGTTTGGTAAAGTGGGTGGTCATCATCATAAGCCTCATAGGTTTCCCAGAACCAAGAGAATAACCGTCGCCACTGAAGTTCTTCTTCTAGGTGGAATCCTCCAAATAGATACTGACTGTAGGATGTGGAGAGCGTTTCAACCCAAGATCGAAGGGGAAAACATGGCCAGTAAACTGGTTTGACTAGACATTTGGGTTTCTTCAGCTTGATAGTGGTCTCAACCAAATCCACGTCAAGGTCCAGTGTAGCCCCTGCTTTGTGAATGCACCGGCGAAGGTTCCTATCAACGTTGGTCTTTCCCTTCCTGGTGGAAGCTATGCGACAAAGAAGATTGCCAGCTCCTGGGCTAGGATAAGGGCTGGTTCGGGAAATTAAAGGATTTAAAAAAACATCGCACTGCTGCTAAGAATCTATGGGATCCTCGGGATAACATAGCGATCTGTGCTATCCGGGAGGTTCGTTCTGCAGATTCAGCCTCACCACAAACTTTTACGAGTTCAAATTTGGAAGCTGGAGTGTTCAAATGATAAGCATAGGGTTTACATTGCTCATGCCATTTTCCCATTCCATAGGCCTAGGCACACCTGTGAAGTAGTCCTCTAATATTTCCATGGCATGCTGTTCATCTTCACGAAGTTCATTTTGTGAAGTTTGGTCTCCTGAAGCTGGACCCATGTTGGGGACACATGATTGGGAACGATTAGCCCTGTCCTTGGATGACTGCTTCAAAGTAGGCTCTCGAATGTTCACCTGGCTCGAATGGTTAGGTGCACTATACTTGCGACGCCCTAACATGGGCGTGCTTTTGTGATTACAAGATATTGATCCACAACTAACTAAGGCAGCGTTCTTTTGCACACATCTTTGAACCCCGGTTGAATCAGATCGATCCAAATTTCCTTAGCGCTCAGCTGGCGCATTGCAAGAGGCATTGTGTTTAAGAACACGGTGCCGTATGAAAAGATTGCCTGAAGGCAAAACCCCAACATAGGAATTGTGGATACCAGCTATGACATTATTATTTTCCAAAAGACAATCAACCGTTTTTCTAGGTTAATAGTGGATCACTTAGACTTCTTGGGGGCCTTCTTCTTCTTCCTAGTCTCAGCCCTACCAGTGGGCTCACTCCCTGTCGGATCCGCTGCATCCTGTGCTGGACGCTTGCGGCTGTCACGAGGCTTTGTCGCAGACGCCGAAGGCTTTGCAGGAGCCGACCTTTGCTTGGCCGAGGCCTTGGGCTTCACCGTCTTGAGGGCCCTGCGGCGGCATGGCGCTGGGATGTGTGTGATCTTTGAAAGGTTCAAAATCTGACATGGGAATGGGATGTTCATGGATAGAATGGCCTCGCACGAGACATCATGTTGTTCACCCGGACGTCTGCTTTGGTGCACTCGATGTATATGCTGCGCAATTGGGTCTTCTGTTGTTCCTACAGAACTGTTGGAAGGGCTCATGGGGATCTAGTATGATTTAGTCCTTTAAGATTCAAAACCACCACAGTCACTATAAAGTTAAGGACACATATGTAGCATGCAGCCAAGAAGCCGTTGGAGCTTCAATGCCACAGCTAGCTTCCTGAAATTGCACCAGCTTGTTGAACATCTGGGCATAGGAATCCCGCTCAGCCACCACTTGCTTCATCATCCTAGGGGGGTTGGCTAACAAGTTTGGGGCCGAAATAGGCTGAACACCCACATCTAACCCTTCATGGGAACAATTCACTTTTTTAACCAGGATACTCTTGACTCCTTGGTGTGGACATCTTCGCAATTCTTTCCTCCACAGCGCATGGTTTTCATGTTTGTGCAACGGGATCACCAAAGCTAGTGTTTGGAATAACTAGCAGTCCTTTTGTTCGTCGATCTTGTCAAGCTTCTTGGCCATCTCGTCCACATACTGTGCCATGTAACCTGATGTTTGTTTATGGCTAGCCGCATGCATAATATAGTTAAAGAAAACGATGAAGAAGATAAAACACATTTTGCAATACTATGGATCATACACATACAAGAAACAATATGGGTCACCATTTTGTTGAACCATCGGCAGGCTGGCCAACTTTGCCGCTGCTGCGCTCTGGGCTGCAACTTGGTTGCTAGCGTGGCCATCCACGCCTCGCCTCAGTTAAGCAGGTGTTGGGGTTTGTTTTTTTTTATTCGGGAAACCATAGCTGCAAACTATATTATATATAATGTCATAAGTAAAGTCGGGTTGCATGATTGTTTGCTCTTCTCCCATGTCACTAAAGTCCATCATTGTTCCTTCCGGATCCTGAACCTGAACGGTGACTTCTCCCTCTCCTTCCCTCCTCCTGGTGTTGCCATATTCAAATTCATAATCGGTGGGGATACGAAATTCCTGCGCCCCGTGTACTTCATTTTTGCGTTCGAGACCACGCGAGGTGGCCCAGTTCTTTGCATTCTTGATCATCAACCTTAGTTCCCAAAATGACATATATCGATCTAATAATTATATCGTTCCTATCAATCCTGAAACTATTGGCCTTCTGTCAAAATGGATAAGTGTTGCAATATTCCTGCCCATTTAATGTAAAGATGGTGAAAACCTAGGTTCAAGACTCATCCCATCCTTTGGCTCTCAGCGATATCTCTGTGTGCCAGCCGCCAAGAACTTTGTTCTTCTCCTCCTCGATTATGGTATGTTTGATCTTGAGCTCCATCGCCTGGAAAGACCCCTCCCGTCTGAAGATCTCGGCAAGCTTGTCTCCTTAGCAACGGGAAGAGTTTGGGTGATAACATGCTAGCTAGCTATAGGATTTTTTGATACAGTTTCAGCTGTGGGTCTCTTACTTTTGTCCTTGAACATGGCCAGTGCTTCCGGGCTTGCGGCGGTTTGTCCATTGGCTGGTTCAAAGTATCTCTTCAACCTTGACTCGGGATGGGATCATATGGTGTTAAATATTGGTCGATGTTACAAGTAATGATATCGTGGATTCAACTAAATTCAACCAAGATACTTCCAGTAAGCGCCTCCGGAGTATATGTCTTGCTTGGGGGCACTAGCACTGGCCGGTGCTTTGGGCGGTGGCAGTGGCGGAGTGGGTTTGGGTACCACCTGGGGTGCCTTTGAGACCACACTCTGACTGGGTGAGGGCAATGGTGGTGGTGCTTTGGGCGTTGTGACTTCCCCATTGTGCTCTTCGGGTGAAACAGCATCCAAATCCAAACACGTAGATGGAAATCCTGAACAACTCCCAAACCGATTTCCACCATTCTCTCCATTTCCAACACCCTCTGGGCTGAACTCATAAGAAGATGGAACATAGATCTTTTTCTGTTGGTACGCTGCACGCTGAGTGTGTGCATCTGGTGTCTTAGCATCACCCGGGGAAGCAAGGGCTTCAGGTCGCCCCCCAGGCAAGCCAGGCACGAAAAGCCCTGCAGCTTTGGGTTGCGCAAATAGATCTCCTAAGCTAGGGACATATATAAATATATATAGGTAGGACAGAATCAATAAGATGACTATGGTTCCATACCAAAAAAGTCAAGCAACGACCTCCATCTCCAGGGGAACCACCAGTCATCATACCAAGCTGTTGTTGAAGAGCTTGGCAGGCAGCCAGGGAAGCCTTAGAGAAGTTTGGGCCCATCCCCCTAATTATAAATTGTAACATCAACCAGCTACATAATATATGTGTGTGTGCGATTTGTGGTGTACGCTTCAATCCAAGGCACTTGGATTTGGGCATCGATGGCTTCATCGGACAAGCTGGAGGACGGAGCAGTGATGTCCAAACCATCATCCAAGGTTCCCCGGGTCAAGCGCTGATGGGAATCAGCCATGATCAAACTTCCTAGCTAGCGATGTAATCTGGAAATGAGCCACTCACTAGGAACACCAATGGTGATGATGGGTCTGTATGCACATCGTTGCAAATCATACTAAAACCAGACATGTTGGTTGCATGTGTATACTTTTCTTTCCCGAAGTAAGGCCAAAAGTCAGCTTTGTGCCATCCAAGGCCTGAATTTATGGTAAACCCACAGCATTTGCAGGATATCAAAACTCCGAGAATCCGTCATTTCTGGATTTGCGGGATTTTGATGGTTTTTGCGGGATTTTTGCGGCTTTTTGCGGGATTTTTGCGGGTAATCCTTGACGTTTTTTTTTGGTTCATAAACATCCTGCATATGCCGTGGAAATTTAAATCGTATTTGCAGACACATGCGCAGATTTTGCGCAAAAAAAATACGATTCAGAATTGTCAAAGCCCAAACCAAATGGATCGGGATCATTTACCTTAGCCATCATCAAAGGTAACCCTGAATTAATCATAACCAAGTCTGTTCATTAATGTATACTGCCATGCATGCATATTATTTGCCAAGTTGCAGCTTCAAGCTCAGCTGTGAATGCACGCATAGTGGCTTCCCAAGCAGGTGGAATTGACAATTTTTTGTTGGTCCATAAGTACATGTAACATTCACGTAACTTTGCATCTTGCCAGGTGTCTTTCATGGGCAAAGCTTTGAATAAGGCCAACTCTGACTTATACTGGGTCAAGTCATACTTTTGTCTCAAACAGGGCATTGGGTTGGAGTGGGGACGGTTATCCTTCATCAACTTGACCAAGGCCTTTCCCAGCCCTTTCGGGTATTGCCTTAGCATCCAGAAGAATCCCAAACCAGCTACAAAGAACTATTTGGCAACAGGATTCACTAAGTGCATGACTGTGTACCCTTAAGCTCTGCTGATCCACAAAATCCGGTAGTGCCATCTCGCTTCATATATTTTCCTTGGAGGGGACCAAAGGCTAAGGAAAATTATGGTCTTTTCGTAAGATCAATCAACTCAGGACAGAACTGTTGTTTTGACAGTGGTTTTTCTCACCCTCACGGCCTTCTTCAGCGGTCCCTTATCCTTAGCAATAGTCATGATATGGTGTTCTTAATATGTGGTAAAAGTAATTGAATCCATTCAGTCCCTTTGTGTAGCTAAGATTTGTGCCAACCCAGAGACCAGAAACTTGCGGACACTCCATACAGTTGTTCTCTTAGGGCTTTTGGATCCGTGGTGCATCATCCAGAAGTTGTTTTTGAAAACCTGTTAGCCCGGGCACCAGGGATTTGATCAGGATGCAAATTACAGGATTCGAAACAATTTAAGTATAGCTCACTTTAGACAAGTAACAACCGCTACCCTGTTGAAGACCCAAGCCAGTCTTGGGAAATATGGGAAAACGTCAGAAGACCCAAGAGGTTGCTCACATAGGAAAATGGCATGCACTGCCAGGCTCACCAACATCAACGCCGCCACCCTGCATACGGGGGATGTGTATTATGTGGTACATCATGTATCATCATGTCTACACTTTCATAAGCACATGTATGCGCACCATGAACATTATATGCGCCTGGATATCATCAGATTTGCTTGGATGATCCATTCTTTGGTAATGTCTCCGAAAACATTTAGGAAGCTTCGCCATGATGTCCCTCTACTTATGCGAGTCCATGACCCACATACCGGTGCCATGAGATGCAAAGCACCAGGGCTGCTTTGCAAGGCCAAAGTCAAAGCTAGCCTCAGAAAGCTGCGAGGGGCTATCAACTAGGGCTGGGAAAGCACACCAAAAGATATTTATAATTTAATTGAGATTAGGCACGCGTAGCCACTGGGACTTAGAAAGTCCATGGAAGGTGAATCTTTCAACTCAAAGGACGCAACACGGTGTGAAGCTTCGTTTCGGAAACTTTCTCCAACTTTCCCAGCTCCAGCAAAGTACTCCACCATGGTAAACTGTGGGTCCAACGATATATTGGAGGTCCATCCCAATAAGAGCACGATTCCCAGTAGTACCTTGGGGCATTGTAAATCAAATTGTCAACTGGTGCCTATAGTGTCCCACAGTCCAATAATTATAAGCCAAGGTTGGTGCTTTCGGCGCCCCCATAGACGCTAAATTGAACACCACGCTATCTTTCCGTTGGACTGCCATGGCTTTTGCCCACCGCTGCTAGGGGCTTTGAATCCCACCGCTGCAGATTGGAAGATTGGTGGTTGCAACTTGGCAAAGAATCCATGGCTAGGCTGGTGTGTAAATTTTAAGGGTTTCCCATTTTTAAATGGTCCCATGCATGTGTAAAGTATGGCAATTCTCCTGACCATTCACCCCCCGCAAAATTGCCAGCATCACCTGATGTAGCCGCCCTTGAAGCAAAGCGATCTGTGTGAAAGTACGCTGGCATTGGCAGCACCTGCGTGGGTCAAAGTATGATACGTGGAAGATGGCCTATATGCTAGATGGCTCATGTCAGTTGTACCCATTTGGAATCAACTGCACTTTTTCCATGTTAACCGACGCTAGGTTCGTCGAAGCTGAAAGCACACACTACACCGTTAAATTGGCAATGTATTGGACTTGTCAAGCCATTTGTGCTAGTTTTCAAAGCACTCCCCCTAGCTATGGACAAATCATGGTGTGCGGAAGCTGTTTCAGTTCTGCCCAGCATCTTGACACCCAAGCAACGCATGAGATCCTTAAAGGATTCCCAAAAAAAGAGCAGCTCACTCGGTCTCAGCGTAGGCCTTAGAGTCCACAGGGTGCACAGCGTGGCGCTTATTTGGTAACATGAAATCAGATCAGTGTGCCTTTTCTGGTGTGAAAACAACCCCCTCTCTAGTTGCATACAGTGTGCTTTCTTTGCTGCAGCTCTTTTCTCCTCTTCGGTTCCCTCAGTGCTCTTGTAAGCCCTGTGGTATGCTGCCGACTTTCTACTGTATTTCTTCTTCGTCTCGGTTGATTGCTTGTTCTTGCCATCATCTTTGGCCTTTGTTGCTTCCTTCTTAGGTTTGCTGGCACGCTTAGCCTTTGGCTGTTTCTTCTCCTTTTTGCTGGCTGCTGTGGGGTGCTCAGATTCCTTTCTTTTCTTTTTTGCATGCTGCTCATCATCATCATCCACACGAGTCTTCTTGGTACGTCGTCGTTTGGGTTTTTCAGGGATGTCTTCTTCCTTGGATGCTGCGCCATCATCATTGTCTTGGCAAGGCGTGTCAGGTTCTGTCAAGGCACTCAGTCGCTTCTTCTTTTGCTCCTGGAGATACTCTTGCATCCTTCGAGACGGGGCGCTGCTGCTTGCTGGCTCTGTGGTGCTGGATGCATCTTGCTTTGCCTTTGGAGTTTTTGCCTTTGCTTTGCTCGCTGCCCTCTTCCTACTCCTAGTAGGTTTTTCCTGCTGTGTCTCATCCTTCTCATCCTTGGGGCTCTTGTCCTTGGGCTTACGACCTCTTCTCTTCGGGGGTTCTTGAACATCAGGACTAATGCATGGTGTTGTGCCCCAGGAAGCAGGTGCTTCCGGGAGGTCTCCGGGGGTAGACTGTGCAGCTTTTGCTTCTGAAGCACCTTGTCCTCGCTCCTTTGTTTTTTTCAGCTCTGGTTGGCTCATCCATATGTTTGCTTTCACTTCTAAAGGTTTGCTGCCTTTGCATGGTGCGGTGGCTGATGATTGCTCAGACTTGTCTTGCTTGCACTGCTCAAAGATGTTTGTCATCGTTTGTTTGATTGGCACGTCATGGCCTGGTGGTACGATCAGTTTTGTCACCCTTGACTTGTCTTTGTCACTGTTTGCATTGCATTGTTCTGTCTGGCCAGGCTGCGGTGTCTTGTCATTGGCTCCTACCTTCTCATCATGCCCATGGATTTCTCCAGAGGTTGGATCTTTTGTCATTTCCTTTTCTTGCTGCTCATCGGTTCTCTGTTCACCTGCTGCTGTGCTATGCTTTTCCTGGCATGCCTCCTGTTGTCCATGGACTGACAAAAGTGACTTAGCACCAGGGTGGGCAAACTCCCCAGTGTTGATGGGTGTGATCGGCTGGCTCTCTTGTACCATAGGCTGCGTTTCCACATTGTCACCGGCATAACCTTAGCTGCTTACTTGTTACATCCTTGTCCCAACTGGTGAAACATGCGATACATGCATGCAAGTTGTGTAATATTTTTGTAACGAAGACAGGTAGCCCAGATCTGGACTGATCGAAGGTGAGCTGACTGACTGTTTTTGCTGACGCAGTTTTTTCAACTGACAAAGCATCTGAAGTTGGAAAGACAATTGCTGCAGCATCTTCAACTTGGCGAGCTTGTTGTTCTCGACTTTTGGAGGTGTTTCATCAACTGGCTCCACGCCTCCCAAAATAAAAGGTTGGCTGTTAACAGTGAACCGGGTTAGACTATAACTAGCAAACATTACAATCGCCATCATCTTATTGTAACATGTGTTTCAGTACCTTCATGGGGAAGAAACGATCTGATCTCCAGCCTCTTGCTGGTGGTGTCACAAGCTGGGGAGAGTTCCCAGGCACAGAAAGTGGCGGAGAAGATCCTGGTTCTTCTTCACGAATCTTGGCCTCAGCAAAGCGAACAGGCATGCTAAGAAGTGACCCAAAGTGTTCAACAAAAAGATTCCCTAGTGAATGTCAAGTTTTGAATAGTCATTAAACCATGTAGCTGGGCATTCAGGAGCAGGAGGTCCCTCGGCTTCTGCTGTTTTTGCTGTTTCTACGTCCTCACAGCCTTAGTGGGAAATCCCATGTTTTTAGTCAAGAACATGTTGGAGTACATGGATAATCTTGGAAAACAAACAATGTTGGCGATAAGATCTCCATCATTTACAAAATGCAATCTAGGAAACATGGATCGTCCTCAAGCTCTTCTTCAGATTCAGATGTCTCTAGATCATGGGGTTCCTCTTCTTCTTGACATGGTCCGTACTGTGTCAAGTCAATCCCAGTGTTGAGAAGGATCCGTCGAATCGCATGCTCTCTGGGCAAGTGGAGTCGTCTCACCACATCATTGTACAGTGTCATGCACTTTCTGAGGTACCATGCTTGCATGTGCAAGGGTCCACCTTAGATGTTGTTCAATGATGTCTAAAAAGTTTCATGAACCAATGGTCAAACGAAATGTATTTTCAAACCATATGTGTGGATGCAATGGCACTATTCATCGGCACATTGATGTAATCATAGAAACTCTGAAGGTGAAGGTAAACCACCGGTACAGAAACCCTGGAACTCAAATGGTTAATGGCCGCTGTCAAGATCAGCTCATTGTTCACCAAGGAGTCTCGAGTGATGCACCTGCCGGTCACTGTGACCTGGGCGCATCGTGATGGGGATTTTTTTGATGATGGTGATGATGATGGTGATGATGATGATGATGATGATGATGATGATAATGATGATGATGATGTTGATGATGGTGATTATGATTATGATTATTGTGATGTTGATGATGATGATGATGATGATGATGATGATGATGATGGAATGTTGATACTTGGTGCAGATGGGGCCTACATATGATATATATATACATACATTAGATATATAATGTAGACTGCGTACCTTTATTCCTATATCATATATCATACATATTGCATATACATATATCTGTATGCATACATGTTTTTTGGTGAATTAATAGAATTGAAGGCAAGCGGCTGCAGCTTGCTTTCTACCAGCTAGTCTTATGGTCTCATTTTGTTCCCACGCTTTTGCTAACTCTGTTGTCATTGCAACAGCAATCCAACTACCATCAAATTGAGCCAGGCTTGGCACATTAAGAAGGTAGTTGTGCACATGAGGCATGTGGACAAACTTGATGCCATGTTTTTTGCAACCGTGTCAAACTTTGTGGGGTGAATCCATAGTTGCATGCACGGCTGAGCAGGGGGGGGCACCCACCAAATGAAGTCCTCCAATCAAAGACATCGCTCACAGCGTCCATGTCATAGCAAGAGCCAGCAAAGAGCTTTTAGCCTAAGATGCACAGACATAGAAACATGGGGGATATTATTGAGAATCCTCTGGAACTAAGTATATGACTATAATATGTACATATATATACACACATATATATATATATTCTTGAAGGGCACCTAGACTAGTTTCAACCCGGAACATTTGCATTCAGCATCTCTGTGTGCAGCCCGGTAACCCCAGGGATGCAGCACTCCCGCCACAGAGGAACCATCAGAATCCTCAGAAACATGGCAATCTATGATTTTGGGGTGGTGATTGCAACATGGTTCATGTTTTAAGTAGGCACATTTTCACCTCAAACCTATACCCCACAGAATCCCGGTGTGAACCCCACATGTCAGATCATCCAAGCTTCAAAGATTCAGCAGTGGCAACCCTCCGGGAGCTTGAGCTCAGGAAAACGCTGAAGTTCCAGAGCACCGACGTTGACCAGGGGACGCACAACACACACCCAGAGGTTCTTTGAGGTTTGTGGGGAATGTCTCAACGATTTTGTCCCATTTCTAGTGAATTAAGTGATTTAAGGATTTTGCATGAATTTCCCATCGATAAAAGCAAGAATATAGTAACTTCCGAGGTTCACGTTTTTTTTCAAGGATTTGGAAGGTGCAGGTATAGTTATATTGCAGGTATATATTCCAGATGGCTTGGTCTATGTACACTATAAATGTTCACTTTCTCCTTCGGTTTCTTCAACCATTTCCAGGCCTGGCCTCTCCTTTCAGCCAGGCCTGACAATTTCAGATTGACACTTTGCTCCGGCGCCTGCGCAGGCGGAGGGCCACGAGTAATGTTGTCTGACCAATAGTGATATCTTGTCAATAGTAGAAACATTTTTCCGCAACTCCAATTTTTCTCCAATACTAAAAGTCAATTAGCTCTATTTACTTTTAGTATTGCCAAAAGAGTCATGTTCAGACCTTGTCCAGAGGGCATGGCCAATAGTGGACCCAACATGGCAATAGTGGAAACTTTTTTCCCAACTCCAAATTTTTCTCCAATACTAAAAGTCAATTAGCTCCATTTACTTTTAGTATTGCCAAAAGAGTCAAGTAAAGCAAAGTCCTTTTCCCAACTCCAGTCAATTAGCTCCATTTACTTTTAGTATTGCCAAAAGAGTCAAGTAAAGCAAATCCTTTTCAAAGCAGCCTTCACTTTTGATTAGCAAAAGTTTAGATTCCAGAAATCTGATCCAATTACCAAACAGCTGATTTCCTTATAAAACCCTTATTAAAAAAAGCAAGAAAACAGGTCCACAAAGGGTACCCCCTTTGCAAGCCCCAGAATAGCAATAACAAACCTGCACCAGGCATGGCAATAGTGGAAACTTTTTTCCGCAACTCCAATTTTGTTGTCCTCCTTCTCCTTCTCCTTCTTCTCCTTCTTCTCCTCCTCCTCGTCCTCCTCCTTCGCCTCCACCACCTCTGCCCCCACTTCCATGTCCACTTCCGCCTTGCCAACTCTTCGCCAATCTCTCAGAAACCCAACCAAATCCATTCAGAATCTATCAGAAACCCAACAAAACCATGGAGAATCTATCAGATACATATCATGATCCCAGCTATAGATTCCCAAAAATTATTATAGGAAGGTTGACCCCCCCTAAAATAAAAAATAAAAATAAAAAAATTAGGGGGGGGTAATTACTATTAGGCAGCCAACATTATGGACCAAATCAGTTGATGGACTGGTCCAATCTGTAGCTAAATGTTGACATGGACACCAGGGTTCGCCAGTTCTTTGATCCGTTGCAATATAGCGACAACTTTGGAAATTGCAAATCCATGTCGGTTCGCAGGGCCCGGAGCATGGTAGCGAGCCGGGGAGCATGTGGAACTGTGGAACTTCGTAAGCTTGGCAAAGTGGATCCAGTTTCTCCAATTCAACCCTAACAACAACAATGAAGGGGTTATCAAACAATGATGGCTTAAGAATGGCTAAGAGTTCAAGCTTACAAAAACATCCATGATCCAACAACAATTTTGTATGGTTGGTCTTGTGTTTAACCACCCCTAGGGGCTTGTGAAAAGGGATTAGTAATCCACCATCATCATATAGACATGTAATATATGAGTACATACGTATATATAATTACATATATATATACACAAATATTTACATATATTTACATACATTGATATATATATATACATTATACATATATTGATATATATATATATCACATATAAATATAACAAAAAAAACACCAGTGACTAGGCAGTCTCGCCTCCACCGTGATGTTTCCCATGGACCTGGTGCGACGGCAGATGCAGATGGTGGGCACTTTGCCGGCAGATGGTGGGAGGACCAGGTGAGGCCACAAAAGCCGTGGTATCTTCATGGGAAAACACAGGAAAATCATGTGTTAAATTTTAAATGGTGATTCTAATGGTATTTTCTGGAAAATAAATTTTGAATCAGGATGATCATTGGAAAATTACCTTTACAATCAATGAGATTTGAATTTAAACAATATTTATAATGGATTTGACTGGTGTTACCTGTCAAACATGTGGGGATATAATCTTGGTGCATGATGGTTGGTTGATGATTTGATCCAGGGAGATAGACATGTTTTCCATCAGGTTTTGGGCACTGCTGAGTGCATGTCGATCCCTAATTCCAACAAGATGCCACTGAACAAATTGTGAGGGGATGTACCCGAAGAGATCTTATGATAATCTTATGTTTGGATTGGTGTGATCTTCGGATGATTCCGATTTATGACCCAACATATGCAAACATTATTTTTGAAAAAAAATGAAGGTTACTCTAAGTAGTTGGGGTTACTTTCCCTTCCCAGGTCCCTTCCCAGGTCAGTGGCTGCGAGTCAAAACCCTTCGTGAATGCGGCCCCCCCCCCCTGTTGGTTCGCAACTCCATGTCTTCTTCTGCCGAAGTCAGAACTAGCTGATTCAATTGATCCTCAAAGTAGCAGCAACAATGAGTTTTCACGCAGTTGTTGTTTGGTGTTTTTCCAACAAGTCCTGTGGAAACTTGAGGATTCCCAAAGATGCGTTGTGCCATTCTGAGGAGTTGGGGGCCGGCCATTGGTGTATGCCAATGTCGGGCAGGCCTGGGAGCGAAGGGAGCTTTCAGACGATCCATTTCAGTCACAGGGCCCACGACCCTCAGCAAAATCACCCCCAGAAGTATGGTAAGGTATGGATAAGGATGAAACAATGGATAAGGGCCAATCAGTGGTGTAACACATTCTGATAGGAGCTAAAACCAGAAATCGAGGTGTGACCCAACAAAATGTATTGTGAAAAGAGCTAACATGTGTTTTCACCAACCGATGTGATAAGTGGTGACCTAAGGTGTAAATGTGTAATCGACAGTGATGGGTACCCTGATGCTCGCAGCAAGACATTGGAATGAAACATGATGCCAAAACAGTTATGGGCTTTGGTCATCCGGGAGCATTGCCCCAGTGGCTACAGATGATAATATTTAGTGAGATTTATATAATTAGTGTATAAGAGCAGTTGTCTTTTGTCATCGCCAGATATTTCACCGCCTCGCTGCGCATCTCACCTCGTCACAGGCGATTTACCACGTCTTCCAGACCGGCTTCCGACGCAACCGAGGTGAGCGTGCGGAGGTCGGAGGTCGTCAACGACAAGAAGGGCAACACTTATCACAGGTTGACACAACATGTGATATGTTTCTATATAAATATATAATTATATATATACATAAGTGGCTTAACTGTAACCAATTGATCCCTGCTGATGTTTATCTCTTGAGTTTTGTGTAACCAGTGACGGTTTGTGGATAAATCCGACCAGTTTGCCATGGGATCTGTGCCAATTCAGTGGATCAGCTTGGGACATACCCCGAAGAACCTCCAACATATCCCCAGTATTGGTGGTAAGATAATCCACTTAAGCGTGGTTGAGTTTGTGTTTTGTGATTTCTGGATGTTGTGAAACATATTATTTATCAACAATACACTTAAGATTATTTACGTTGAACATATCCCTTCGCATTTATTTACTAGTTGGTTGACGCTCCCAGATGTTCCCTCATTTATGGTTCTATGAACCATACTTCTCAAGAATCACCAATTTTGTCGATTGTATCATCCTAAACATACCAGCAGTATAATTTCTGTATACAATGGTGCACCCCCAAAACCATTGGTTTCAATTTCAATACTAAATTTTAGGAAACCTCCGCATACCACGTCCGAGATGTAGGGTTTGCTGAGGTACCGCGCTGGGCTACCTCTTGGGCATCAAGCTCAGAGGGTTGGGGTACAAGTAGGGTGTTATACATGGAATATCATCCACTAGTCATCTATTGTATCAGGATATCATATTATATATACATATATATATATATATATCATGTATGATTCTAGGATATTATATGTGTCCCACATTTTATCTATCTATCTATCTATCCATCCATCCATCCATCCATCTATCTATCTATCTATCTATCTATTTTTAAGATGATACCCTAGGATTATATATACTATGTAATATTAGGATATCATATACTAGTAGGATTCATTATGAATGGACGTATATTAATGATCAATGATGAACGGTTTATTAGGATGCAGTAACTGTTAGATATTATGAAATCGTCTATACATACATGAGCATACATATATATATATACATCAAATAGGGCAAATAAACATAGATATCATCCATAATGATGGATATGAGCAACTAAATATAGCCAAAGCATTATATGCACATATATTCACGCGATAATGTTTTTTTTTCAGATATAATCCATATCAAATAATCATCAACCTAGCCAATGAAGATCGGAAATTCGAGCCCGAATTTGAGGATATAGTCAGTTGACTTTTGCTGGCTGTGGCTGAAACCAACATGATCGCCAGCCGGATAGGGGCTGAGTTGTTATTATCTTTTTTCACAATCTCCAAATGTTTGAGTTACATTGCGATCATATGAAACTGATTCCTCAACAACAAGAATCCAGGATGGTCAGGTGCTTCCCTCATTTGTGTTGGTCTATCTCCAGTTTTGTCAAGTTTTATTTAAGTGTTGCTGAATACCCAAAAAAAATTTCGTGGACATCATGAATGAATGTCTGTGGGTTGACTCATTTCTGTCGGTGACATCTCAAGTTGCATGGCTGATGTGTCCATTGATTTTTTGTTTGCTGGGGTTGAACGCATAGGTATGGCCGAAAAGCACAGGAACGAACCAAACCTATTGTGTTTTTGTTTGCTTTAACAGACTCACTTTAGGTTGCAATTGTATACGCACAATATTACAATTCTTTGGCACATCCTTCATGATATGCTGCAACGATGGTTGTGAGTCCTTCCATTCTGATATATGTTTTTTTTTCAGTTTAAATACCCACGTCACTGCGTTCTGTCCCCTTCTTGATCGTTCTTGGTGGTTAAGTCCCCATTTCTGCAGCTGACACTCCAATTTTTGCTGCTTCATCCCCATGTTCATTAGTGAATATCACAAGTTTCCAGGTTCAAAACCCCCCATACAAAATATAAAACTCAACCTTCCATCTCATTCCCTTATGTCCTACTATATGTTTGAAAAACCTCCTTTGCTTCCCTCCTAAAGATTCCTTTTTGGGGACTTCGACTGTCGCCAGGCCTCCGCGAGTTCTTCAGGGGCTTGGCCCCAGAGTTGCTGAAAGTGGCGCCACACAATGCGAGCTCCGCTCAGGGCTGGGAGGGACAGATGACAGTTTGAACAACTGCTTTCCCGAGAGGCTTGAGCATCTGAAGGAAAATTCGTGATTTGTTTTTTCCTTGTCTGCAGTCTTTGGCCGCCAAGTTTGGCATATTGCTGATCTCTCCAAATTAAATATTGCAGTCTTGCACAAGTATGATTCTTTTTGGACACCGAGACCTTATTTTTGTTTGTACCACAGTTTGGCATTTTGAC